TTTAGCTTGATACATTATTCGATGACAATTTGCTTTATTTTCCTTTTTTGTTGCACTCAAAGTGTTTTGAGTGTTTGGAAACCAAAGTTTTTTATTGTTATAATTATATTTTTGTTTCATTTTCATCTTTTCAGTCTCCTGCCTTTAAAACATCATGTTTTCTATTTTTAGGTTTCTCAAAGCTTCAGATGTGAGGCGCTTCATATACTGTAAAAACAAAGTCGTTGTTTCTTACGGTGATTTTTTGTCTTCATCTGTAAGCATGAAGAGTAAATGTCTTTACTTAAATTGATTATTACAACTATTTCAAGACGTTCAAAGATCCAATCAGATGGCACTATAATAATTTTATTTTTCTTAATTAGAGTCCATATTTTGTGGCTTGTGCAGTACAAAGGTGACAGATCATCTGCTGCTGTGGCCCCCAGACTCTGGAACTCTCTCCCCCTGAGCCTGAGATCAGTGGACTCAGTGGTCTCCTTTAAAAAGCAGCTGAAAACTCACCTGTTCAGGCTGGCTTTTGTGTGACCTTCATCACCCTCTCCTTGTTCTGCTCTCCACACCTATCCCACCTTCCTCAGGATCCACTGATTTCCCTCTTTCCTATTCACTCTCTCTCTCTTTCTTAACATTTTTTAATCACAATTGTCTATTTTTGCTCATTTTAAACATATTTTGAATAGTTTTCTAAATTCTGTTTTATATTTTAAATTTTTTGTTTTGGTGAAGTACTTCATGACTTTTATCTTGAGAGGCGCTATGGAATAGATCTTTTCTTCTTCTTCTTCTTCTTCTTCTTCTTCTTCTTCTTCTTCTTCTTCTTCTTCTTCTTCTTCCACACCATCACTGCCCACACATATACAAGAAAAAAGCTTTTGAATAAGACAAACACATAAATAAATGTTATTCTGCAAAGAAAATGTATGTTTTTGTGATATATTCTCTAGTAATTCTCTGTTTTATCTAGCTGTTTGTTCAGTGGCCACGCTCCAAAGCTTCCACGAGTTTTCCTCAGTACGCTGATAAAAATCAGTGTGTCAAACCAATCAGATGAAAGCTGCAGACAAAGATGCAATTCATAATTAAAAGGACTCTGAAACATAATAAAAACGTCAAATGTGGGAAGTGAACGACGTTGATGTTCTTGGTAGACATTTACATTCTGCAGCAGTAAAACGCTGCGTGTTGCCATAAAGATCTTATTGTTTGCTACGATTTTATGATGCCGGTCACATGACCGACAGCCGCAGGTTATAAAGTGAGAAGGAGTAGAGTGAAGAATGAGCAATGCTCTGGTTTAGATTCAACATATTTTCCTTCGGCATCAAGGGGGAGTTCAGTCAACAAGGATGCAACATAAATAAACGTAACATTTTTTACACTGAAAAACATTTGAGTTATTCCTGATTATAATCGGTCACTCTGAGTGATTCATGCAAACTACACCGATCTCCTGCTTTAGCTTCAGATAGAAAACAGACGGTGAAACTCTAGGATTGGAAACTCCTGACAGATCTACGTCACACTGTCACTAACACTCATGGACTCACCCATCTTGACTCACAATGGGGAAGGCTTGGTTTAGCGCCCAGTAAACAGTGGAGAACGTCTTAGCTACTAGTAGCTAACTGTTAGCATTAGCAACTTCACCACACAGCAGTACTCCTCCAGGCATGTGTTATTTTTGGAGATAAAGCATCAAAGTTGCAAAGTCAGTGGTAGAGTCAAGCTGCTGTTGTCCAATCAGAGGCAAGCTGCCCAAATATCGGGAAATAAGAGTCAAAATCCTGCCTTCTGTAGCTCAGCTCTGATATGGCTCACTTCTAGCTCCTGGAATTAGTGCACCGGTGTTTCTTGCCCTCCAAGTATACAAGGCGTTAGTTCTACTAGAGACTACTACAAATGTATTGATAAAACTATTGTTCCACACCTTTAAATAAATAGAAAAACTTGTAAATGTGCAGCCACTTGGCAGAAACTTGTATTTAAGGTCTCTCCTTTCGTGGTGTTTCATTACCCGCCTCAGCTGGTGTGTCAGATCAGCTATGTGATGATATAAGATGCTTGTGATGGTCCATCAAGCTGTCACTCCAATTTCCCATCAGTAGTGAGATTGACTGGCTGTGGTGAAGAGCTCGTTTAGTGAAGGAATGATCTGCGGGACTGTTTTCAGGCTCTGAGGCACTTAAAAGCTCGGGGCCTGGTAAAAGGTGCTTAGTAGATATTATGAGAGGGATGACTGAGGATGCAGAGGTGTTGGGTCCTGGTGCAGAGACCGGGGAGATTTGTGAAGTGGCTGACTCACGGAAGTCCATCTACCCCAGAATTAAGGATAAATGAAAGCCGACAGGACATGGATGAAGAATCAGATAGTGGTGCGGGGAAACAGATGTCCCAACGCCGATCACAGCTGATGGATATGTGTAAAAACCAATTCCCAACATGAAGGTTCTGCTAAAACTATGCAGATCTTTTAGACTTACGGACACATCATTTGTCTTTGATCACAGCAGAAAATTCACATGTTCATAACCCCCAAATTCCACTACCTCCGCTCCGCTCCGACACGAACGCCGGAGCAAAATCGGTCCCGTTGTAGTCAGTCAGAGCAATTCCACTACTGCGGCCGTCCTCCGGCAGTGCGCCGCCCTCTGTTCCGGCGTCCGGCAAAAATAGGATCGATCCTATTTTTGCCGGTCGCCGGAGCACCTCCGCAGTAAATGGACAGAAATCACAACCGCCCAACAGGAAAAGGAGCAAGCACAACTTCCGTTTTTCACAATAAATCGATAAACAAAAGGCATTTTTTGTTTCATATGCACAGGTTTAACAACTTTTAACAACTATCAATGGCGGCTGAAGTTTAAATGCACAAAAGTAAGCCATAAATACAGTTTCTACTATCAAAGTAGTCACACTTTGTTGATCCAAACACTGCTGATCTGTCAACACAAATGATGGGCAGATTAAACAGTTCGTTTTGATGCTTCTCCCACACAACGGGTGTTTGGATCTAACTTCCGCGTTTATTGCTCGGCCTGTATCGCAAGATCTCGAAAATCCCGCGCATGCCTGTTTGCCCACCTCAGGTCTCCGCACCGGAGCAGAGCCGCTGTAGAGCGGGTACCAGTAAAAATTGAGTTCGGAAGCGAGCGGCTGCGGAAAGCGGGGGCGGACCGGAGCGGAGGTAGTGGAATTTGGGGGTAACCAAATGCAAAACTCCTTTCTTCTCTTGAATTTCAGGGGTCAATTTTTAAAGGTGTGGAACACTGAAATACCACATATTTTTGATTAGAATTGGTCACTCTTAGTTTTTCATGTAGGCTGAACATGACCATAGTCTCCTAAGCCTATCCTCTGCATTAGCTTCTAGCTGCTTTTACAGGACCATAGCGTTTGCAAAACGTGATTTGCCGCGGCTCCCTGGGGAGGATAAAGGTCGTTTATAAGACCAGACCGTGGCGGTAATGTGGCGCAATCGTGGCAGTTTTATAAAAGATTAGGTGATGGCGGCATAAAGGGGGCATGAGGGCGATCTCTGCGCTGCCGCAGACTTCTGTTTATCTTGGACATAACTTATTTTTATTGCGATTGAAGCCGTGATCATTAAGTATTTTTTTAACAAGCAGCTCCTGAAGGTGTCTGTCCCCATCAGTCCCTGTGCAGTCTCTGGTGATCTGACCTTCAGCTCTAACAGAGAGGCTCATGGAGCTCTGCGGTGCTCCAGTTTGTCATCTCAGCTGATTTTGTTCAAAAAGCGAACCTTATTGCCTGTGTTTACTTTCATTTTCAATAAATTCGCCAGCCGGAGCTCAGCAATAACTCCCCACGTCATCATGACATGTGCCTCTGTTGCGCCAGGGCGCATATGACAGACCATTACCGCAATATTACTACCAAGCGAGGCGGAATGAATGCCGCAAAATTTGCTCAACGCCATGCCGGCATGGCGCATTTATAGACACACCATTGCAGTAATATTACGCCGATTTGCCGGCATGGTGTGTCTTGTAAAAGAGGCTTCTGATAGAAAATAGAAACTCTAGAATTTGGAAATCCTGACAAATCTACGTCACACTGTCACTAACATTCATGGACTCACCCATCTTGTCTCGCGACGGGGAAGGGTGTTGTTGGTTTAGCGTCCAGGAAACTGCAGAGAATGTCTCAGCTAGTAGAAACTAACCGTTAGCATTAGCAAATACACCACACAGCAGAACTCCTTCAAACTTGTGTCATGTATATGACATTGTGTTGTAAGACATTAAGGTGTCATAAAGACAAGCACACAGCAAGGAGATAAGATTCCCTGCTGGTTTGACCACAGAGAATTAATAATGGATACAAGGGGGCATTTAGAGACTCTGACATGAAGCACACAGCTTCCCACTTCCCACTGAGCAGTGGTGCTGCCGTGGACTCCTCTCCCATTCAAGAACGTTCACAGCAGGCAGTTAGTCCATGCACTGCAGCTCTGGTCCAAGCTGCAGTTAGAGAAGATGTTTACCCACTACATCCAGACTGTCAGTGAATTACGCTGTTAGCTGATTCTATCTGCACTAATTAGAGGTTCCCACTAGCAGTTAGGTCTGAGAGTGACTTAAATTCAGCTTGCCAGTCAGTCTATAGGTGGGTGTGTGTGATTGGCTCATCTCTAAACAAACCACAGGGAAGAAAGACCGAAAAACCACAAGAACAATGCGTGGATAATGCCAACGTAAATGGAACGAGTCCACCCGGCCTGGACCAAGCTGACCATGGTGGAAATGCACCGTTAGGGATTTCTTGCACAGTGTTTTGGAAACATCTTTAGATAAATAATGACAAGAACTCTTGTGTTGAAGATGCAACTAATTGCTAGCCTGACAAGCCATCCTTTATATGTGAGTATATAGTCTGGCCACGGCCCATAGACAGAACTCAGTGTCATGGTTCTGCCTTCTCTCTGCTTCTGCTGCTATTTTCCCTTCATTGTTTGCAGGTGAGCGTGTTGGGGAGCAGCAGCAGCAGCTGCAGCTAATTACCATCAGCCTGGCCAGAGGATTTAAGGAGCGGTGCTGCCACACCTCAACGCCGGTTGATACTCTACTGTTGGGTACATCTAGCCACGTCCTCATCTGTGCCTTGACTCGAAGACTCGTTTACCTGAACTAACCCAGCTCTACATTCTTGTCTGTACCAGCCCTGGATTCCCTCCACCCGCCTGAGGTGTGATTTATCACAGCGTCGTTCAGCTTCCCTGGCCTCCTGCTCTCCACCGCTCACCTGCCTTCCTGGATCCAGCATCTCCTCCAGCGACCATCTCCTCCCTGCATCAACCTGACTTGCCTCTCCCTCCTGCCCCTCGTCCTGCTCAACTCAGTAAGCCCGTTCCTCTCATGATTATTCATCTCCTGGTTCTCAGTTTCTAATCACTCTCACCGTTCTTCTTAGAGTCGGAGTTGCCTCGTTTCCTGTCCCGTTTGGATCAGCGCCCTCAGTTTTCGCTTTGTTTTCTTTATAAAATAAAGATTTTATTATCTCTTACCTTATCCCTGAGTGATTCTTCATGTGGGTTAAGAAATTACCACCCATCATGACACTCAGTCGTGGGGCGGGATGTACGGTCGTCTTTCAAACTGTATTTGCATGCTATTGGACAATGAACATGACATACTCACCTCTACAGATGTCAGCCAACAAGGTTGTCTGCCATACTCCATCAAAGAAGATGTAAAGACATCCTGTTTCTAATTAACCCTCCCACTGTCCTAATGGTTGTGACCCCGCGAGGAAAGTTGACCATTGAGCAGGATTGATGGTTTATCCCTTGAGGTCCACGTGGCAGGGGTGAGGTGGTGCTCACTCCTCACCCCTGCCACGTGGACCTCAAGGGATAAACCATCAATCCTGCTCAATGGTCAACTTTCTTTGCGGGGTCACCCATGAAGACAGTGGGAGGGTTAAACTTAAGTACCTCTATCTGCCCTTGACTCAAAGAAAAGCCAAAGTCAGAATAGTCAAAAGTTGATGCCAAAGCCGTTTCAAACGAGCCGTCTGTGTTTTAGTGGCATCATGCCCACTAACAGAGTGCTGGGATTGGCCCACCAAACTAATAGAGAGCCGTGATTGGAGCCATCACCATCTTAGTTTTGCTCAGTCACACTGACGTCCTGCCCACCTGACTAAGCGCTGTGATTGGATCGCTACCGACGTCAGTCAACGACGCAGTCCACCAAACATCATGGAAGAAGCAGGGAAGAAGATGGAAATGCATAATTTTTCCAAATAAGCATGATTGACCAGCCACAACCCTGGCTGGGGCTACGGGGGCTGCCGGGGTTCCAATGGAACGTTGCTAGACCATCAAGCTAATCTGAATTATTTTTCTTCAGCAAATGACGGTCTACATTCTAGCCTTCTAGGCTATTCTACATTGGGGTGATGGTGGCAAAGGAGTTAAGTGCTCGCCCCATAATTGGAAGGTTGCAGGTTTGAGCCCTGCTCAGTCTGCCGCTGTCGTTGTGTCCTTGGGCAAGACACTTAACCCACGTTGCCTGCTGGTGGTGCTCGGAGGGACCGGCGGCGCCAGTGCTCAGCAGCCTCGCCTCTGTCAGTGCACCCCAGGGCAGCTGTGGCTACATCGTAGCTCATCCCCACCAGTGTGTGAATGTGTGTGTGAATGGGTGAATGACTGATTGTGTTGTAAAGCGCCTTGGGGGGTTCTATGACTCTAGAAGGCACTATATCAAATACAGACCATTTACCATTTTTTTTAGGCTAACTAATTACCCTTTTGAACTCCAGGTTACATTCATGAGATGTTAAACTTGCAGATTTACCTCCATGTTTTATCACACTGGGTCGTCCCTCGGTCCTTCTTCCATTTTTCTTCCAGAGACGAGTTTGGCAATGCGTGAGATTGTGCTGCTCATCTCTTAGCACTTCTTTTATATTTTATACGTAAGGGTCAGGCACCAGGATGGAGGCAGGGGTGGACCAAATCTTTGCTGGGCTGCAGAGTCGAACAGATGGCGGCCAAATAAACAGGTCAGAAGCCTCAGATGGATTCAGCCTGAACAAGACAGAGAGGCCACTCCAACGGCGGAGAGAGGACCGCTTCTGTTCCATCACTCAGCTCTGTGTGGGGTGTGACGATGTGAAACAACCGACCAAATTGCTGAGAAATAACTCTGCTGAAGCTGGAATGGGATCATTCGCTCACATGGAGTCGATATTCCCTTTTTCATGGCCACCGTAGAACGATTTGACTTTATTCCTGAATGGCTTTAATTATCTTTTAAAGAGGCATGTCATTACCGTTACATCATGTAGAGCGGTGCAGCGATCCCAGGGGCGGCATCTTGGGCCGAGCCAATGGACTCCCATCTGCTGTTGTGTGGATGGAGCTGATGGCTGAAGGGAACGTTTCACCGCATTTTGAATCATCCAAAGAACGGAAGCTGCTCTGTAGCACTGTGTTGTGGTTTTTTTTTTCCAAGCAGATATGGTTTTATTGGAAGAAATTCTCCAAATATCCCCCTCTAAGCTCATTGTGGCTGGCCGGAGCCCACCCATCACATTTCACACAGTTTAATCCCACACAGCTTTCATATCCCGATCGAGCTGTTGGTGTTTTTCCTTTTCCTCCTCCCCAACACTTATTCTGCCACACGCTGAACATTCCTCTCCTCGTTCAAACACTGCCTCCAGAATTCCTGCCCTTGTGAAAATACTCCCCATCTCTTTTGTTTCCTTTCTCTTGTTGCTTTTCATTTTCGCTCAGTTGTCGTGTGGAATAGGGGGAAAAGAAGCTCCAAAAGCTCCATTTAGTTTGATATTTTGCCCACAATAAAGTCTGGATGTGTGGTATTTGCCATTATTTCTTCTTTTTGAGTATTAATCTGTTTAGAAACATCAAACTGGATTTATATGGTTTATAATGTTCATATTACTCCTATTGGTACACTTTTTTCTGCATTGCGCTTAAAGGTATTTTCCTCTAAACAGCTTTTTTATTGGTTTTGGACTTTTTGTCACACATACATTGTTCAGATCACAATGATCTGTGTGAAAACCAAAAGGGAACAAAGCTATTCAAAGCAACCTGGCCTTGTGTGGAAACAGAACCTGTCTGACAACATGAAGTTGGCTTTAAGATCTCAAAAAGCAACATATCAAGCCTCATTCAAGAGCAAAAGCACTCGGACACATTTAAAACCCTGCATGCCTCATTTGGTTAAGGCATGCGGTCTTGGTTCAGCAGTAAGAAGGAGACTAGGGCGCTAAAATGTCCTCCATGAATCAGTTCCAAGACAAAAATCTCTGCTGATGAAAACAGAACAGCGAAGGCCCGTCACACATATATTTCAAAGTGTGGTTGACTGAAAAAACATGTTTTAATGATTATTTTTGATTGTAATGAATCACTCTGAGTTTTTCACAGGATGAACATGAAAATAGTCTCCTACACCTATCTCCTGCATTAGTTTCTGATAGAAGATAGACGATGAAACTCTAGGATTCGAAAATCCTTACAGATCTACGTCACACTGTCACTTAACATTCCTGGACTCACCCCATCAAGACTTGCAACGGGGAAAGCTGTTGTTGCTTTAGCGTCCAGGAAATAGCAGAGAATATTTTGGCTAGTAAAAGCTAACTGTTAGCATTAGCAACTCCACCACACAGCAGAACTCCTTCAGGCTTGTGTCATTTGAGGAGATAAAACATCAATGTTGCAGATCAAATAGAGTCAAGGGTGTAGTCACGTTGCTGTTAGAAAATCAGAAACAAGATGTCCAAATGTGCGAAAATAAGACTCCAAATTCTGTTGTGTTCTGCCTCTCTCCCTTCCAGCTGACTCCTCCATGCTGATACAAGCATTTCTGTGCTTGTTTGTCCTCAAATGCAAGAGACCACTGCAAATGTATAGATTAAACAAGTGTTCAACACCTTTAAATACAATAAGATGATTCTCAAGACTTTTGGGAAAATATTCTGTGTCTCTTTCCACCTGCAGTTAATCTAACACTAAAACAGCATCATAGTAACACTCAGATTTCAGATTTCTTGGCCAAGTAAAAGTACATTTACAAGGAATTTGTCTTCGGTAGATGTTCGCTCTCTAAAAACATACAACAACCACAATAAATGAGAATAAAAAACACCTAAAAACACATAAGAACATGTATACCCACACACATGTTCATTTACACATACACACACACACACACACATATATTCATATATACATACCCACGCATGCACACACACACACACACACACACACACACACACATACACACATACACACACACACACACACACACATCCATAAGCATACTGAATTAGTATTAAAAACTATAGTAAAAGGATGGTAAAAGAATCTACAGATTCAGGAGAGAAATGGCTGAAGGAAAGAAACTGTTCTTGTGTCTGGTGGTTTTTGTGTACAGTGATCTATCGCGTCTGCCAGATGGGAGGAGATGGAAGAGAGTAGATGCAGGATGTGTGGCATCTTGGACAATATTCACTGCCTTCTTCCTGGTCCTGCTGATGTACAGTTCCTGGACAGAGGGCAGTTGGGCACCAATGATTTTTCCTGCTGTTTTAATAATTCGCTGTAGTCTGCATTTGTCCATTTTTGTGGCTGTGGGCACTCAGACACGGTGGTGACAATGCGATGGTCTACGGCAGTGGTTCCCAAAATCTTTCCTTTGAGGACCTCCTTTCCCGTGTCCAAGACAAGCCAGGACCCCCAACCCCAACTCCTGGGACATCAGTAGCTCAGGAGGTAGAGCGGGTTGTCCGGTAATCAGAAGGTTGCAGGTTCTATCCCGGCTCTGACCAGAGAATTCTGCTGTTGTGTCCTTGGGCAAGACACTTAACCCGCCTTGCCTGCTGGTGGTGGTCGGAGGGACCGGCGGCGCCAGTGCTCGGCAGCCTCGCCTCTGTCAGTGCGCCCCAGGGCAGCTGTAGCTACATCGTAGCTCATCCCCACCAGTGTGTGAATGTGTGTGTGAATGGGTGAATGACTGATTGTGTTGTGAAGCGCCTTGGGGGGTTGTAGAACTCTTAAGAAGGCGCTATATTAATACAGGCCATTTACCATTTACATGCGTAAACACATTAAATGCGATCATTAAAAACTTTATGCAGACATACAGAGTTAAAACTTTTATGTGGAGTTCTGATTGTACTGTAGAGTGTGTTAAAGAGAGTTTGTACATGTAATTTTACAAATAAAATTTTGCTAACCTCACAAACTCAATAAAACAAAATTGAGGTGACCCCCCAACAATCTTGTGAGGACCCCCTAGTGGGTCCTGACCCTGAATTTGGGAACCCTTGGGCTAGGGCTTCTTGACCTGGGCCTCTTGCTGTAAGTGATTGAACCAGTAAAGCCTTTGACCTTAAACGGCTTTTTGATGCTGAAAAACCCTCCAACGTGGCAGAATTACAACCGTTGTGTAAAAGAGAGCAGGACTAAATCCCTCCACATCAATGTGAGAAACTCATCAGCAGAACCAGGTGGTTTGGGACAACTTCT